CCAGAGGGGAAGCTGGAAAATTCAGCTGCTATAGGGTGCCGGATGAAAAAAACTAGGAGAAGGGAGCCAAGAGAAAATCCTCCTTAGCCAGGGGCCATTCAGCTATTATTTCTGATGCCTTTTTATTTTAATTCCCAAATCGAAAAAGTTTCGCTTTGGCGATTAGGCGAGAGAGAACTCTAAACGCTTTAAGCGTTTGGTTTGGTGGAAAAGCCATGGAAAATCTGGTCGTAGGTCGAGGGGGAAAGCGTATGTGAAATACTAATTCAACATGTCTGCGAAGTTTCTTTTTTGCCGCACGGCCTAATGTTGCTGCTTTATCTCGTTTTGTATGCTCGAAGGAAAGGCGGGGCAAGGCAGGAAAAGCAGGAAAAGCAGGGAGGGAGGAAAGAAGGGGCGCTCCCTCTTATCGCCTAATCGATTACAAATGATTAAGTCTACGAGTTGGCGAGCAGGAAACAGCAGGAAAAGAATGCAGTTTGGCTAGAGAGTTGGTTAACTACATTCTAGCCATAAGTGATGGCTAAAAAAAAAGATGTCACATTTTCATTTATTATCCAGTTTTCCCATGGCATTTAATGCCATGCATACATGGCTTTTCATATGGCTGCTGACTGCTGGCTGCTGTAAAATGTATTCATTGCTTTTGCAAAAAGGAAAATGGGAGCAAAAAATTAAATAGATGACAACAAAAAGCAGCGCCCAAGCCACCCACAGAAGGGCATCATAAGCCAGGGAAGGCAAACATTAAAAAAAACAACAAAAAAATGAAGGGCAAGAGACAAAAATGTCAAGAGAGTCGGCTAAATGGAAAATGGAAAATTACTTAAGCCATTCGAAAGGCGCAGCCAGCCCTCCCCTCGTTCATTCATCTTGTCCTGGGGCAACGACCATGCCCACTCTTCGTACGCCCCATTTTCCCACGCTCAGCCCATCGAGGCCTTTAGGGGGAAATTTGGTGTTTTCTGCTTTCTGTTTTTTCTGTCTTTTTTTTTGGCCCGGCTAAAAAGTACAATTAAGTTCATCTACCAAAAGCAACCGCCCACGCTCCTCCCGATTTTGCGACGACGACATCGTTCTATTTGATCGATTTTTTTCGCTGTTTGTTGGTCCTGTGAAAACAAGTCTTTGTCAGCGAGGGCGTTGTTCAGGGAAAGTGGGCGTGACTAGGGCTGTGTGTGGAAAATGGTGTGAAAATGGCAGCGAAATCGATGCACTGCTTCAATGTTGACCTTGCAATAAGCTTGACTTTCTATTTCCTTGTGGGATTTGACTTTAAAAGGTTAGAGTAGGGAAAAGTTGAGGAAAAGTAAATATTAGTTGTAGAAAAAAGTAGTAGGAAAATGTAGTAGAAAAAGGTAGTAGGAAAAGGTAGTAGGAAAAGGTAAAAGGAAAAGGTAAAAGGAAAAGGTAGTAAGAAAAGGTAGTAAGAAAAGGTAGTAAGAAAAGGTAGTCAGAAAAGGTAGTAAGAAAAGGTAGTAAGGAAAAGGTAGTAGACCGCAAAAAGTATTAAGCCATTTCGTGTGCTCTTTTCATCATCAATAAATCTTTTCATCATCACTTACACGTAAAAGGTAGTAGATCGAAAAAGGTAGTAAGCCATTTCGAGTGCTCTTTTCATCATCAATTACACGTATCTCGGGGGTAATGCTCAATTGATACCACCGAAGGCTATATCCTCTGTGGACGAAACTACAATATATATATATTGGAAATTCATTTGGACGGAGATGTCCGTGGCGAGAAAGAGACAGGGAAAGTGCGAGAGAAAGAGATGGAGATGGGACGTAAGAGGCATAAGCCGAGGCATTTTAATGGCACTTTTAGTTCCACTAATCGCTTTATGATGATGACTTGACTATGCATAAGTGTGCGAGCGTGCAACTGAGTGTACGTGTGTACACTGAGAGAAAAGTTAAGAACTTCAATTTTAGGTTTTTACATACTTTCTATAAGCTGATTTATATTTTCCACAAGAAATAAGTTTAGATCACTTTTCCATTTAATTGAATTAATATTTTGTAGTAACATTTTCTCGCAGTGCATTCGAAAATGTGCACGTGTTGTTTGCAAGTAAGATTCGCATCTGCGATGTCCTAGTTAAAGTTTTCCATCATCGTCTTCTCGCCTTTTCCTCGCTCACGTAGTAATGGATCAAAGATGGCGGCTAATGTCTCTGTGTGAAAAGCGGAATGAGAAGCGGGTGAGGGAAACAAGATGGGAAATAGATCAGGAGCGTGTGTCAAAAAGAAAAGCCAAGGCCAGTAAGAGAGCATAATTAGTGAGTGGCAGAGGAAGTGAGGAAATCGATATGCAACACCTAAGTTAATTAAACGAACGCCATCTGGAAAAGTGTAGTGACTTTAATTTGGGGATTTTCCCCCCCATCTGCCAGTTGGCACGTTTCGAGGTGCCGTGGCAAAGGGAAAGTCCAGTTGGCCAACGAAGAATGAATACAGTTGACAGATTGGGTTAATTTCGAGGGGATTATGGATTCATTAGGCACCTTGTTGGTTGGCCAAGAGGAAAACCAATTTGTTGCCATGGCCAAGAGAGAGAGACTTTTGTCATTCACTGGAACAAATATAATATAAATAACTAGCCTTTAAAGTTATGATTACAAGTTATTTATGTTTGTTTGATAGCAGGAAAAACCTCAGACTCCTTGAGTTTTTCCCTGTGCAGGGCAATGGAGCTGTGGGGGGCAAGGAGCAGCAGGAGAAGGAAAGTGACGGATGGCTGACAGCCTGGCACGAAGTGGAGTGGAATTTCCCGGCGGGCTCTTTCCTTTTCCTTCTCTTCTCCTTTCCTTTCCCTCCTCAGATTGAGCTTTCTAGGGCTAATTAAAAGGACTCGGCGTGCCAGAGTAGTGGGTTAACGGCAAGGGAAAGTCTCGAGACTTGAGTTATTTTTCCGCTGCGGTTTCGTGGCTGCAACTGATGGGTTGGTTGGCTGGCTGTTCATGGGGATTTCCCTGAGCTTTCGCCGAGATTTCCCTTCAGCTCCATTCCGTTTCCGGCGGTTTGAGACGATGGCCTTGATTGCATTTTGCATGTTCGAACGACGACATTCGATTTCCCCGCTGATTGGCAGCCAACAATCAATGGCAACTTGATTATTCCGTTTGCCTGTTTTCCAACGTTTTCCACTGTTTTCTCTGCTTTTTCACATTTTCACATTGGCGTTAAAATAGCCGGAACTAATTTAATAATTTATTCAATTCCGCCCAAATGCATTGTCCCGGCATTATTGATGAGCTCGGCAGTTTAATCTAAAATAAATAAACTCCACATGCCCCGCACGCGCGCTCTGTACATAAATTAAGTTTGTAAATCCGAAAAGAGGAGGTTTTCTTTTTTCTTTTTGTTAGTTTTTATAAAAAATTAATGGCTAAAAAAAAAGGTGTTTAATTAAATGATTAATGGAGAAGCGAGATTTATATTAAATTGTGGATTATTTACTCTCCAAAATGTATTAAAAGCCTAAATTGCAGGCCCATTTAAGGCAGTGCTGATAAATTGCTGTTATGGTTTGAGTTTTGTTAATCCAATTTCACAGTTCTGCTCGCTTTCCATCTGCGAATGGCCCACTTAAATCGCATTAGGCATGTAGAACATGCTGAATGAATGAGTTCTTCGGTCCCTCTCGTTTCGGAAAGAGACAAACCCCAAACCTTTCACCCCAACGACCATTCTTCTTGTGGGTCCTATGTGGGTCAATGTGGCCATGACAAAGATGTGGAGAATAGCAAACGGCAAGTCGAAAATATTGAGAAAGTTCTCTCGGATTGGCAATGCCAAAAATAAGGCCATTAAAAAAGGCAGCATAAACATGACATAAACATGCGGAATGCTCTGTTATTAGTTGCCATCTGAGACTGGGACTGAGACTGAAACTGGGTCTGAGATCATGGCCAAGACGAAGGACAGAAATGGCCCAACCAAAGGCCACCCTTAATCTCTGATGCCTAATGTTTATGGCTCAAAGTTGCGGGCTATTTGCGAAATAGTTATCATGTTTCCATCATGATTGCAGTGATTAGAAAGTGGTTTGATAGGTCTAAAGCTTAACTTTAGTTTAAACCGAGAAATAGATGGGATTTCCAGCTGGAAACTAGAAAGCTAACTCATGATTTTTTCAATCAAACAGACGAATTTGGAAATTTATTCGATTTGGCTGGCAGTTCCCCAAGGCAGCAGCCGCAGTCAGAGCAGGGCACGCTTTCAGAATAACTAAGAGAGAGAGTCATAACCGATTTGAATATTCAAGTCAGCTGGCAAACAAACAGAAACAAACAAACAGAAACAAACCTTTTTAGCAAATCGAAATCGCTCAGACAAATGAAGGTTTGCCCCTTTTTTCGTTTTCGGTTTTCGTGAGTATTCCCAAAGCGGAAGCGTTTTGGGCCTTTTTGGCTGGCGTTTTCTCAATATTGCGGACAATGCCAAAAAGTTTTCATCCACAAACAAGTTTTAAACAAACAAATCAATTGCTGAGAACTAGAGAGAGCGAAAAGCCAAGGGAAAATTGTTCTTTAATGTACTGCAGCGGAAAGTAAACAAAAATTTAGGCGAGTTTTTCTTTCATTGGGAAAACTAAAGGCTGGATTTTTATAAGGAAATCTCTGCCTAAGCAAAGTTAAACTGAAATACAGTACAAAAGTAGCTAAGAGTAAATATCAATACTTGGTTTGGGTTGAGTAAAAAAGCAAATGTTGGTTTTTGTTTCAGCAACTACTTTGTAATTAAAGATTTTATGAGCTTAGAATGTGAGGCGGTCCCTCCCCTTAAGCTAACATGATTATTTTCTGTACCAACTGAGTGCTTATTTAGTAGCTAGTGATTGAGTTTTCCATAGATCAGTGCAGTTTCCATCTCGCAAGGGGCAACATATAGAGTGGCCTTTACTTTTACTGTCAAATTTAGCTTTTAATCTGACTAAAAGTAAGGAATCTCGTAACTTTTAACACCCAAAACTAACTTCAACCTTCTTCTTCTTAGGATGAATGCCGTTTAATCACCAACAGCACCGCCACCATATAGATCCTTAAAGAAAATGCAGCAGAAAATCACAGCTGTTTACTAAGGAAGCCACGCCATGGACAACAACAGCAGTACGGACGTACTGTACCAGTACCGGTTAGCCCCATCCGCCAGTCCGGACATGGGGGAACTGGGGGATCTACGTCAAGGAGGCATGCCAAGACTGCCGGGTGGCAACGAATCGCAGCTGGAAATGCCCGACTATGGGAATGAGAGCAGCCTGGACTATCCGAACTACCAGCAGATGGTGGACGGTCCTTGCCGTAGTATGGATAATAATGTCAGCTACTGGAACCTCACATGCGACTCGCCCATGGACTATGCCATACCGCTCTATGGCTACTGCATGCCCTTCCTGCTGATCATCACCATTATCTCCAACTCGCTGATCGTTCTTGTGCTGAGCAAGAAGAGCATGGCCACGCCTACGAACTTTGTGCTGATGGGTGAGTTCTATGGCTATGTCGTCCTTGTGGTTTTCCATTTATCGTGGCAACATGCAAGTCACTTGTTAGCCAACTTTCCATGGCTCAAGGACATGGCCTTGACATTAAGGGAGCAGGTTCAGAGGGGTTTCTTTTCCTATCTTTGCTTAAATAGTCACAGTTTCTGTTTTAGTTAGTTAGTTGGACTTAATTTGAAGTCAGCAGAAGAAGTCAGGTCCTCTAGTCCACGACCCTGAGTGGGCCCATTTGGATTTTTCCCCCATTCAGACGCCGCCTTTTATGATTATTATTTATTTTTATTCCATGTCATTTCATGCCGCGGCCGCGGTCTCTGCCCCGTGCCTCGGTGTCGGCACGTCGCCCCTTTTGGCGCTAAATGTGCCACAATGTTAAATCAGGCAGAAGTTTTGTGAGATTTCAAATAGCTGGCGATGTGCGTGCTCCCCCCAGAGACCTCCTCCTCCTCCTCCTCCTCCCCCCTGCATACACATATCCTACCATACCATCCCCGCCCATATATTATCCGATCCCTCTGTGGCTGTGCGCCACATCGCGTAATGCTGAGATATTCTAATAGCGTGTGTAATGCTAATGGCCCGCCGTCTGCCGATTGGGAAAAACAGAGCTGACAGCGGATCATAGCAGGAATTAGATAGTCAAGGCAAAGAGGAGCGGCGGCAGTTTAAAGTTTTTAACTTGGTTTTTCTCATGTTTATGAACATGAATTAGCTTAAAATGTGTTGGGGAAAAGACTGCTTTAGCTGAATTTTCCGCTGATTTATGGGAAAACGAAGGCTGTAAGCCGCCTGTAAGTGGCTTACAGGAACAGCCAGAAGAGCAGAGAAGAGGAAGTTTTCGGGTAAATCCCATTGAAGTATATTCGATTCGCTGTCAATAAAGTTGAGGTTTGAGATGGAAAGTTTAAATTTTAAATTATTCGTAAAGGCTGCACACTGAGGCTGGGGGCTGTCAATGGGTTAAGGCTCGTCCCGCCGTCACCTCTTAACCGCCGCCTGTAGCAGCGACACCCCCACGGGTGTCAAGCGCAGGCCAAGGCTAATCGCATTCGGTTCAAATGACAGCGGACCGAACGTGAAATGAACTCTGGCCCTGCAGCAGTGGTAACCGCAACAGAAATGGCTCCAAAATGGATGCAACACTGCGAGGAATTCAGGGTAATAATTAAGTTATATCAAAGATATAATCTTAAAGAAGTTAAACCCTTAGAAGTTGTTGATAGTTAGTCTTGAATCTGAGGGAAAGTGACAGGGAAAACGTAGAGAAAAGCAGCCCCTTTTTTGTTCTCTGTGCAGGCAGCTAAATGTGCAGACAGCGGGACAGCCGCAGAGGACTGTCATTCCAATGAGTGCGCAAAGGTCAGGTCATCGGGGTGTGTTGTCAGTCAGTTAAGAGCATTCGCTCGGTTCAAATGTCACTGGGCCGAGAGAGAGAGAGAGAGCGGCAGGTGGTGGGGGGGTTAGAGCCGAAAAGTGCATGAAAGTCGATTAGTTGATAAATATTATTATCCAGGTTAGTGGCTAGGGATGAGATACTAACTAATATTTATACTAAAACGGGGGGATGAAACAATATTTATTTATGATTTGTAAATTCGAATTTAAATTAATCGACAGCCTGAAGTGGGCAAATGTTTGCCTTGAACTCTGAACTGTGAACTCTTAACCTCTCTCTCGCTCTCTGAATCAACACCCAATCTAGGCTAGATGTGTTTGCTTTGGCATAGGAAGCTGTAAATAATTGATCAGCGAATCAATCGATTATGATGAGCCCCCGAAATCAGATTACAGATGCTGCCCAAAAATGTATACAGCGATGGTCATGGTCATAGCCATCCGTAATGTCCAATCACGGAATCAATTTACATTGAAAATCGCAATTGATTTGCATAAGCATTACCATAATTTCTAATTTCAACTTTACACATCTCTCTCTTTCTCTCTCTCTCTCTCTCCCAACTCTCTCTCTCTTTCAGGCATGGCTATATGCGATATGCTGACGGTTATATTTCCGGCACCCGGCCTGTGGTATATGTACACATTCGGCAATCATTATAAGCCCCTGCATCCGGTCTCCATGTGTCTGGCCTACAATATTTTCAATGAGGTAAGTCAACAAAGACTCTCCTGGCCACCACCTTCTCCTCCTCCAGCACTGAAAGAAACTTTTGGTTGGTCTTCTAAAGGGTATTAGTAATGAAGAAAACTATGGGTTATCCATTGTCCTCTACTCTTTCTGCGAGTGTCTCTTCTTCTGCTTGTGTTTTTCTTGCCACACACAAACTAATTGCCAAGGCGGCTGGGCTGGCCGAGAAAAGCGGGAAGAGCGAAAAACTGTTTGTTTTGGCTTCTGGCCACGTTTTCGAACCCCTCCACTCTCAACCCTCCAATCTAAGGCGACGCTCATTGACCTAAATAAAGTGCTCGGCTGGAAGTTTTTCCCTTCCATCTCCATCTCCCATCTCCCTTTCCCTTTTCTATACATTTTCATATTGGAACTCATTGCCCCGCTCATACCTTTGTCTCTGGGCTGATGTATGATGATGCTTTGTTTTGGATCCCGTCGCGTTATCGTTATCGTTATCGTTATCGCATTTGCTGCCACGTTACATTTTCCCCCAACTTTGCCTGTGATTTTGCCTTTTGTGTGTGTCATTTCTGTCAGCATAATGAAAGAATGAAAAACGCTGCTGCTAGTGCCACTTGCCATTTGCCACCTGCTGCCCCTTGAACGGTGGCAAGGGAATGGGTGGGGAATGGGTGGGGAATGGGGAATCCACCTCTACCTTCATCTCCCACCCATTCATTCAGCCATTCACAGCACTTATTCATTCGAGAACGTTTTTCCACCATCATCACCATGCAAACTCTGGGCTTTCCTTGCTTTCCTTCCTGCCCTTTGCACGTTTGCCTTGATTAATCAACATTTCAATTTATGGCACTCGAAGGGGGCATGGAATGGGGGGGGCACCCGCCTTGGGGGTGGCAAAGCAAAACTGTTTACTCACTTCAATGGAGTAGTGTCAAGCTGATAAAATGCCACCCCTCCCCTCCCTGCCCATCCCTTCCCTTCCCTTGCTTTGGCCATAAGCATAAGCCCGAAGGCATAGTGGTACGCTTGACGAGGCTGAAAGGAGAAGGAAAGCCGCCCTTGGTGTTAGCTGGGAATTAACCCATTTTCATTCATGAGAAGTTTCTTATTAGTTTCAGGGGAAGATTGCATTATAGACGTTCTAGTTTAGCTTTTTAGTGGAAAATGAATTAGTTAAGCAACGAAAAAATAAGTCCAGCGAAGTCATCTCCCATTTTGTACCCCTTAAAACATTTCCAACTGCCTTTGCCCCACTGTACTGGCTCATTGTAGCTACGTGCTGTTAGTGGACTCTCCGGGGATTTGTACCAGCTAAATTCCATGCTGGGCTTGGGATGTCTAGATGGATTTTGGGGAGGAGAAGTGGCAAGGATTGCTGGAGATTGACTGGTGAGGGGTAGGGGGGGTGGGGGGGGGCTGCTAAGGGAGTGGCAAGGACTATCTCTGCGTATGACTGCCATAAAATTCAACTCACATCCTGGCAAGCGGCGGCGGCGCACTCCTCGTTTCGGTAATAACCACCAGGCGGCCATTGCAGCCTCAAAGTTGAAGATTCCGTTTCATTTCTCTGGAATTTATATATGCTCCGGCAGCACGTTCTCCCCATCTACGTCCCCAACCGCTGCCTCGAATGGTGGGCATAATGACCATGTTAATGTAAAAAGGGGGTAACCATCGTTTCATTGTAAAATATCAAGGCGAGTTTATCTGGGCATGTCGGTGTAATTGCAGCCCAGTCAGACACATAAACCGGATTAGGCCACAGATTGTGCATTATATGGCTATGGCTATGTCTATGGCTATGGCTTTGGCCAAGTCCGATGTCAAGTCCAGTACAGTAGAGTTTCACTGCTAGCTGCCTGTCTGCCGCAGAGCCGCACTCATAATGGTCCATAAATGGAGCAGACACCTGTCCAGGTGGAGCTTGCAAATGGCCATTTGCCAGTTACCAGTTACCAGTTACCAGAATTCATTCGAATGCTCCTCCTTCTTCATTCCTCAACTCCTTCTCTGACGGCTAATGCAGTTGAGTGTGCCACAAATCCGATTTGGCAGACAGACAGGCTAAGGAATGACTTTGTGGGCCTTTGGGCCAAATGCTGATTTACTCACACAGCACAGACGTATATCTTTGCCAGAAGATTCTCATTCGGCTGGGGATATGTTTGGGGTTGTGGCCTTAAGATGGACATTAAAAGATTTCGAATTATATAGCTCTCGCCAGGTCTTAGGTGTAGGGATATTGTAAAACGTATTAATGATAAAAACTCCTTTAGTCACAATAAGTAAAAGTCTTGTTCAAGGAAGTTAAAGCCTTTAGCAGCTGCCAAATGGATAAGAAACCTTTCTATTTACATTTTAGTTGGCCCCCCAAAAGTATGCTACAAGCAACACAACAGAGCTGCTTCTAATCCCACCCATTGCAAACCTTCTACTTTACATCTACTATATACTTATCCCATATTTTTGCTTACAGATCATGCCAGCCATGTGCCACACCATCTCCGTTTGGCTAACTCTGGCCCTGGCCGTGCAAAGGTAAGTATATGCAATTAGGCCAATAAAAGTGCGACCGCCTTTCACAGGTCCTCGGCTGCTTCGGCTGAGATGTAACTGAATGAGTGGCTGGCTGGCTGACTGGTTGACTTGTCAATGCTGGCAATAAATCAGTTTTGTGTGTGTGTGTGTGTGTGTGGGCAAGGCAAAAATAAAATGTCAATGCCTTGAGGGGAATGAAACAAATGGTCTTACCTTGGCATAGTCAACGCTGCGTATGAGTGATGCGTATGAGTGATGCGAGTTATAATTTTGGCAGACAGCGAGACAGACAATCAATCGATTGACATCGCCTACGTCTACTTTAGCATTACTTTGGTCTTTAAAGAAAGTTCTTTAAGCTAGCCAAGCCATAAATAATAACCACTAATGTGAACAATAAACTAATTTCGAATGGGTAGCGCATAAATTTGGGCCTGTCTTCATCATGGACTATGGACTATGGACCATGGACTGAACCACTGCTGCCTTCAAGGGGCCTGGGGCTGGTCTTTGTTCTATTAACTCATGTGTGGGATCATAAATTTTACAGCTTTGCAAATAAATTTGCAAAGTGGAGTGGCGGCTGAAGGGTCGGGCCAGCGACCAAAAAAAAAAATAGTCATAAATATTTGGGCCATTATGAGACTTTGGGCCGTTTTCAAGTGGTCGAAGCTAAGGGGGTGGTTGGGTGGCTGGCTTATGCACCACCAAATAGCTAAATAATATATATATATCCCTCTATATATATAGCTTTAGGAAAAAAAAGGGGAAACGGGGTAGGAGGACTCTCTCTAAAATGCGTTGAAAATTGCCCGAGGACAAATAGCGCGATAAAAACATTCAGCGTTTATTGTTATTATTGTTGTTGTTGTTGTTGTTGTTGCTGTTGTCGACTGTTGGCTGTTGTCAACTTATTGTATTTCAAGTGTTTTTATGGCCCTTTCAGATGGTCTGATGGGTGGGGTGGAGGGGGCAGTACCCACTGAGTGAGTGACACTCTCCATAAAAATTTCATAAAACACAAAAAAAAAAACAGAATGTATGATGTATGCATGTGAGTGTATGGCAGCATATTTCCTTTCCTCCTCTTTTTTTTTGTTTTTTATGTGGCCCAAACAATGCCAGGCCTATTGGCATACTTTACAAAGGGGGCTTGAGTGGCAAGAGATATTCGAGAAATTGCACAACAGGAAAGTGCATTGTTCAAATTGGCTAATAAAGCTGTTACAGGGTCTCTCAGCTAAAGGGAAATGTTAAGCTGTTAGTCAGTCATCCCTCTAAACTAAAACAGAAGTTCTCAGCTTAATGTTTGATGATTATGAATGTTTAATTTTAAATGCTTTGCTAATTAGTTGAGTGGCTGAGTGATTGAAGTGGTGGGTTTGGGTGGGGGAGGGGTCTCATCAGTTATTGATAAAAGGCAGGAAGTAGAAGGGGTTTGCCTATAACCACTAATAACTTGAAAGTAAAGCTTGTCTGTTGGGTATATAAAATGATGTAACTTCTAATTTGGCCATTTGCCAGTCATTACTAGCTTTTAGATGGCTTAAAAACTGAGAAATTGGCCTGTAAAAGTCTAACCTTACCCCCTCCCTCCCAATCACTTTGCTATCAAAACACTTTCCCCTTCTTAAAGGGTAATCCCATGAAAGGGGTTTCCTCGCCTTGGTTTTCCCATTCGAAATCTTTATCTCCGGCGGAACATGTCCATCTGCAGGAGATTCCCATAGATGATAGCCCCCCCCCCCAAGAGCCCTTTCAAAGATGTTCTCCCTGATTGATTTATTCTTTTACACGGGTTGGAGGTTTGAGGATTGTTTTCGCAAGGGTTTTCCCTTTTTTTTTTATCTTTTTGGTTTGTTTTTTGATGGGCGAAGAGAGAGAGAGAGAGGGAGCGGCGGCTGCCATCCTTTTAGGACAAATTAACTAAATTGTTAAAATGACAAAGAAAATTAGAAGAAGGGAAGAAGAGGGGGGCGGGCCAAGACATAAGCCAGCTAAATGTTATTCATTTATTAATATCAATTCCATTTAGGACTAAACGCCCGGCAATCGTTCTTCGTCCTTGGAGCTTGGAGGTTGAAGCTTTGAGCTTGGGGGCCCCTTTGTTGGCATTTCTGCTGCTTTCAACTTTAATGAAATCCCCGCCTGACAAAGGTTCAATGAAAGATTGATTGAAAAGCATTTTCAAGTGCCAGCGCAATGGGCGTGGCCATAATTATGCGCATAAATTAGACCAACACCCAATACAGGGACCTTGGCGGGTGTAGCCACCTAAGCATCAAAGTTCGTTCGCATTTCGGATTGGAATCACAGGCAGAGATCTCAGGAGGGGGGCGGGAAGAGAGTAAGGGGGCAACTATAAAGCGTCAAACTTTTCCCCGAAATCTTCAACAGGAAACGAATTATATTCCCCCGGCAGGACACGACCCACGACCCCTGACAAATTACTCGAATTATGAAATTACAAAGCGCCAACTTGATTAGCTTTTCAGATGGCTTTTGATTGCTTCTTCCTTTCCACTTTTCCGGGAGGGGGGTGCAAATTAGGATTTTGGCCAATTCGTTGTCACCACATTGCCATCGTAAATTCTCACCTGGGTAAATTGTTTTTATCTTGCCGCCAACATTGCCATTTATATTGGCCAAATGCGCTTGAAGACGCCGAAAGCTGCTGCTCGTTACTTGGCCTTAATGTCTGGACGGGCTTTCGATTAGTCCGTTTGAGTAACAGCCCATCAAGTCAAGACAAGTCGAGGGGAATAAAGCCAGCCAGATAAGGGCCATTGCTATGTTAATGGCCAAGAGGAGTATTGGTTATCTTAGCCCTGAGTTTGGTTCTCAATCTTCAACTTAAGTTCAACTTTGAAGATAAAGATAAACCTTAAAGATTCCCTACTAATGAGTTCCTTACCACTTTCCAGATACATCTACGTTTGCCACGCCCCCATGGCCAGGACATGGTGCACGATGCCGAGGGTGAAGCGCTGCACAGCGTACATCGCCCTGCTGGCCTTTCTGCACCAGGTGCCGAGGTTCTTCGACAGGACCTACATCCCACTGGAGATCGAGTGGAACGGCAGTGCCACAGAGGTGTGCCACCTGGAGACGGCGATGTGGGTGCACGAGTATATCGGAGTGGACCTGTACTACACCAGCTACTATCTGTTTCGGGTGCTGTTCGTCCACCTGCTGCCCTGCATCATCCTGGTGACTTTGAATATCCTGCTGTTTGCAGCGATGCGGCAGGCGCAGGAGCGAAGGAAGCTGCTCTTCCGGGAGAACCGGAAGAAGGAGTGCAAGAAACTGAGGGAGACCAACTGCACTACGCTGATGCTGATCGTGGTGGTGTCGGTGTTCCTTCTGGCCGAGATACCCATTGCCGTGGTCACGGCCATGCACATCGTGAGCTCCCTGATCATCGAGTTCCTGGACTACGGCCTGGCCAACATCTGCATCATGCTAACGAACTTTTTCCTCGTCTTTAGCTATCCGATTAACTTCGGCATCTACTGCGGCATGTCGCGCCAGTTTAGGGAGACCTTCAAGGAGATATTCCTTGGCCGACTGATGGCCAAGAAGGACAGCTCCACCAAGTACTCGATCGTCAATGGCGCCCGCACCTGCACGAACACCAACGAGACGGTCCTCTAGTAATTGGTGATGTTGGTGCCGCGGCGAGGCAGTAGCGACCACCGTCGCTCCACCACCAGCACCACCACCAGATCGGCGGTGATCATCGGTGGTGAGGCAACTCCGCAGCAGCACCAGCATCTGGTTACTCATCTGCAGACCCATCCGCAGCCCAGTCAGCAGCGGCGGGTCAGCACCATGGACATCATCACCGAGGAGAGGAATGTTTAGATTCCTCCGATCGGACTGGATTATTACCTATATCCCACTAACCTTCCTTATTCCCTCCTTTCGTTAATGGTCTCAGTTTGGGTTAACATTTTCCACTAACACAAGCTAAAAGTTGATCATCCCCCCAATGGATTTACCAAAAACAGAGCTAAGCAGTAAGGTTTCAGACAAAAAAAAATGAAAATAAACAGGAAAATTGTTAAAAAAATATCAATAGAGGAAAACCAATCGTAAGTCTGTCTGAATTTAGAAGGTTTTTGCAAGCGATTAAGCGATTTTCACATTTTCACCGTAACTTTTCCAATGCAAAAGAGTTGCTAGGAAAGGTGAAACTCGTTTAGTTGCTAAAGTAAAGCCTCGATAAAACCAATAACTAAGTGTCTGTTCTAGTTTCCCCCGCAAAAAGCACAACTCTGTGTGTTTTCTCTCTGTGCGTTGATGTCATATTTAAACTAGATGTTAGTGGGTTAAGCTTATATAAAGGGTTTACAGGGGGAGGAGGGGGTGTAGCTTTGAAGAAGTGATAGCTGAGAGGCAGGGGGTAGGGGGAGGCGTTCTGGAATTCACAATAATAAGATGATACTATAGTAGAGATAAGGAGAATACTTACAGGAAACTCGAAACTAATGGAAAATTGATAAAAACTGAGTGTAAGAATCAGTTAGGATGATGATGATTAAATGTTTAGCCATTAAGAAGATATTTACGAATCTTTTTGAGGTCTTAAGGGAAATGGGTTTAGTTTGGAGCCATTTTGAAGGCCATTTGTAAAATACTTTTATAGCCTAATCGGAGTTAGTAAGAGTAGTTAGCGTTTAGGATTGGCAACTCGTTTAAATTCGTAAACCTTTTGAGCCCCAGAGTTTACCGATTTAAATGAAAGGAAAGGAAAATGAAAAAGAAAAGATTACATAACAAAGATCAGTCATAACGAATTTCAAGTCGATGTTGTAGGCTACACACATAATTTTTTTTTTCTAGTGTAAGTACAGTTACGATTGCAGTTTCTCCCGTTAAAATGTTCTAAGTGTAGGTCATAGGCTGTATATGTAGGTGACTAAGCAAGCAAGCAACTACGACTAAACCAAATACAAGAACTTAAGCCTAACTACAACTTTAAACTATAATAACTACCACCCTTAACTATAGCTGAAAGTTGTCTGTCTGAATGGAATGTGTTAACTATTTATATATATATGGTATATGCGTACTTCGGTTTCCGTTTCTGATCTGATCTGATCTGATTATGATCTTTGATTTTGTACATATATACTTTGACGGTGCATCCAATAATGAATAAATAAACTAATTAAATGTCAAACGACGATTGCGTTTTGCCTTTGATTAAGTTCCCCGGAATTGGGAATTGGCTAATCGCTTTCAGTTTATTTATTACAGTTCGGTATTGCGATTCATTGAGTTGGAAATGTTAGTATTAATATTAGAATAATCGGCATTGCTGCCTCAATGTTGGGCCACAGTCGAAGGTCTCGCGAAATGGCTTGAAAGTGGCAACTGCATCGTTGATCCTTGACCTGTCGTTGCCATGGTTGCTCCCGTATTGCTCCATCAAGGCGATGTCATCGGAGCAGAAGAACTGAGCCCAGTTATAGAAGAACTGCTGCTTCTGGACCATCAAGTCTTCCTCGTTCTTGGTTCTTTTGTGATCCGTCGGAGCCGTGTCAAAGTAGGCGGAATAGGCCAACTCCAGGCCATTGGAATCCGAGTACTTCTCGTCTCTGCCATCGCCGAACCAGTGATTGAGGCATTTTAACTCGTCCCGGAATCTGGAGTTCATATTGAGGCTCCGTTTAACCATAGGACTGATCACGCCGCGGGAGTTGAAGAACACATTGCCGGGGTCGTAGCCATGGGTGAGTTCGTGGCCCAGGATGAAGCCCAAAGAACTGTAGGTGAGTATGTCGGGCTGATCGGGTGTGTAGATCGGTGGCCCCAGGAGGGACAGGGGCACGATCAGCATATTGTTCTCCGTCATATAGAAAGGCGAAGCAAAGGTCCCATACTCATGGACGTTCACGGGAACGAAGCTGTTTCTGTTGGGCATTGAACGAGCTCGATATTTGCCCTGGAAATTGTGATATTGCAGTGCGTTCAAGAGATTGCCAAAGTAGTCTGTGGGAGTTATCCGGACACCCGTGTAGTACCTGTCGATTTGTCGCTCCACGGATTTGGCCGAGCCTTTCGGCAGGATACTCAAACGGAGTGTCATCCTTTTCAGTTTGGTCAGAAGGAACTGATTTATATGCAGGGGGAAATGATTCCTGTTGGCCCGCAGTTTTTGGCCAAAACGCTGCTTGAGATCTATGAAGATATCCTGCAGAACGGGCTCCAGTTGGAGTCGGGGATGGTTCTGCTCTATCAACCAAACTGCCGGATGGCTGAGGATCATCCTGGACTGCCCGGCACACTCGACTCGGTCCACGTGCCAGGGCTCAATGGGTCCCTGTATGAGCTTCAGTCTCAGATACAGGTAGATAAGCAAAAATTTATGGGACGTGTGGGAAAGCGAATAGATCAAGCGATTGATGTAACTGTAAGTTGGTAATGCTTTCGGCCATGGCAGAATCCAAAAGGTTGGTATTAACTCTTCCGGCCAGCCATCAACAACATCTTCCGTTGAGTCATCATCACTATCTAACGTCGCATTCCTCATTATATTGGATTCCAGATTGCTCAGTTCGCTCCAAAAGAAATCCGGATCGTAATAACTTTCTGCTGGCCATAGCAGGTCGAACTGCTCCCGGGTCATGAGCTCCCTGTTGGTCTCGTTGAGGTTCCAGGGTGTGCTGCGAATCAGCAGTTGCTTCCATATTGTTCCCAAATTGGATTTCTTGATGTCGGCCAAAACGTCGATGCGAAAGGCGGCCGTCATGCCCACAGCTAACATATTATCGTTGATCCATGGCATCATGATTAGCTGCCTCAGGAGCTCAAGCGTCTGGTCCATGGTCAGAGGCTGCCGGCAGGAGGTGTAGAAGTTTCGCAGCAGCTGCAGGAAGCGTGGCTCATTGTCCCCTTTTCTGAAATCCAGAATACTCATCAATCATTCTTTATCTTTTCAGATCATTCATGCTACTCTTTATCCAGCAAATCAGCCAACTTTCCCGCATAGTCCATGTCCAGCTGTTCTGTGACTGTGGAGTAAGGATCTTTGGCATGAATGGCCGACCAGTTTCCGCAGGCGGCTTCATAGAAGTTGTGGCATGGATTAGACTGTGGATCCGATTTCACCAGGATGGGCAGCAGGCCCACAAGGCTGGCCACCAAAAGCACTTCCAACCGCATCTCCAGAGACCTCAAGTTAAACTGATTGACGGGAAAAGCCTTTAGTAGTGAAAATGTTTCGGGGTCTTATCTCGGATCGAAGGCAATTAGCTCATGGCTTGATTACGGAAACTGGGAAAAACTTTCGATCGGGCGGTTATCTCTAGCAACTGGGGGGATTCACAAATTTCTATAGTTTTCATATTATATATATTTTAATAATCAAGACTTTGTAGAGCTTTTCTATGAACGTAAATTTATGAACTTCTCACAAGTCCTAGAGCTCTATGAAAAAGTTGAGTTTTCTTGGCAGTTTTTATACCCGTTACTGGTAGAGTAAAAGGGTATATTCGATTTGTTGAAAAGTGTGTAACTGGTAGAAGGAAGCGTTTGCGAGCTTTTAAAGTATATATAATATTGATCAGTATCAAGAGCGAAGTCGATAAAGCCATGTTCGTCTGTCCGTCCGTCTGTTTGTCCGTCTGTCTATTCGTGCGTCCGTCTGTCTGTCCGTCTGTCTGTTCGTCTGTCTGTTCGTCTGCCTGTCCCTCTGTCTGTCCGTCCGTCTGTCTGTCTGTCCGTACGTCTGTCCCTCTGTCCTTCTGTCCGTCTGTCAATCTTTCCGTCTGTCCGCCTGTCCGTCCGTCCGTCCGTCCGTCCGTCCGTCCGTATGTCTGTCTGTCTGTCCGTCTGTCCTTCTGTCGTTCTGTCCGTCCATCCGTCTGTCCGTCTGCCCATCCGTCTGTCTGTCCTTCCGTCTGTTCTTCCGTCTTTCCTTCCGTCTGTCAGTCCGTACGTGTATCCGTCCGTCTGTCCGTATGAACGCTGAGATCTCAGTAACTATAAGAGATACAGAGTTGAGATTAAGCAGGCAGATTCTTGAGTTCGCAACACAAGGGCAAGTTTATTTCAGCATCCTACCACGCCCACTCTAACGCCCACAAAGTTTATTTCTTTGTTTGACCATGTATAACATATTTTTGCCAATATCTATTGATTTACCAAATATTTTTCAAATCTGAATATTACTTCGCTATTTCTGAAGAAATTTATGTTATAAGTCCTCACATGGACAGTGACGTTACTATGCTTTCTCTGACAGTAGGTGGCGCTTTGTCCAATGAATATTTCAAAATTGTGTAAAACAGTACGGGGTATCTGAAAGTCGCGGCACTCGACTATAGCGTTTCTTCTTGCAGTGATTTGGAAAAGTTGAGCGTTGAAAAACACTTTGCGCTTTGCATTTGGAAAACTACAAAGTTTTCCCAAGGCCAGCTAGCACACATGCAGACACACATGGCACAAAATGGCAACTTTTTTGGTGCCGCAAAATGTGGGGTGGGAGGTTAAGTGTGGCGAGAAGGATCGCTGCAAATAAGGTGGCGACACTTTCTCATTTATAGTTAATGCACTTTTGGCCAAAAGCGTTGCTAAGGCTGGCTAAGTGCTCAAATATTTAATGGGAAATGTTCGAAATGGATTAAGGATTAAGGGGAGAGGGTTAAGAGCCAGTACACTTGAAAGTTTTCGTCAAAGTCATGCGATTTTCGGCAACTTTTCCCGCATCTGCTTAAGCAGGAGAGTGTGGAAAGCGGGAAGGGGAAGGGAAGGAAGGAAAATGCGATCTGTATTCAGGAACCTGGGACCCTACTCAGGTTTTCAGATGAGATAGCAGCAATTTATAAGGGGCGGTACGGGTTAATATCTGTCTGGAAGGAATTTACAATTTGAAGCCCCTTTTGTGGCCCCAAAGTGTTGGCAACGCAGAATGCGGACCAAGCCTCATTTATTTCACTCAAAATTGATTGTCGCCTTCTGGTAAAAAACACACACATCCAGGGCCCAGTGATGGACAGGCAGAGTGGTACAGTAGAGCATCGTAAATGGGGATTTTCATGATTTTTATAGCCTTTGCCTTAAGTTACTACAAGTATTTATCTGCACTGAGATAGGCCTTCAAAGATTTAACTTGGTTTAATGAAGTAGAGCAAACACGAACTTAATATCAAGGTACCACTGTACTTAAGCGTGCGTGTATTGAGCCTAAAATCAACACGGAGACAATGAGTAGGCAGTTGATAATCAATCAGAAAGCTGCTTATTGGCTTTTCAAAATGCCTCTAACAAAATAAATAAAAGTCAAAGCGACAATGTGGCATGTTGTGCCCTGACCGCCCTACGCGCCCTTGCCCCATCAACGAGGGGGATTGATGGGAAGGGGGAGGAAGAAAAAAAAGAAAAACAAGTCAAGTTCAATCCAATTTTGGGCCAAAAACATGGCCAGCCTGCTGGTGCTGGACCAGGCCAGGCCTGACCTAATGCCAATTTAATGCTGCGTGTGGCTTATGTCTGTCTAAGACCCCATCATTATGCCACATCCCTACCCTGCTATCTCCTCGACGATGAGCTCATGTGTGCTCTGCGGATGGGGTAAGCTCTCCGGAGTAGCTTTCTGTTTATATCGATGGATGCGAAGATAATCAAAGGCAATTAGGCTTTACAGCCAATCGCTAATTAATTTCCAATATAATTTATGCACACCCGCAAAGGGGCAGTCGTCGTAATCCCTTGATTACTTTCCCGCCCCCCTTTCCCCCCTCTAGAAAAACAAGCTATTTGAAAGTCCAAAAGTTTATTCAGTGGACTTGTCTCCAGGAAGACCCTCAGTCGGTCCCACGCCGAAGTTATCATTCATCTGAACAGCGGTAAAGTCATCCTGCACTTCATTCAGTCGAGCCTGGGTGCAGGGAACATTGGGATTCGTCTTCTTGATGTTGGCATTCCTCCAGATTGTTGTCAAATTTATGGGTATGGCCATCCTCCATCCCGTGGTTGAGCTTGTCTTCCTCTTCCAGGATTTTGGTCACCTCACTGGCATGGGTACTGGAAATGTAGTGCCCGTTGAACTCCTTGATGTACCCCATACGCACACCGGCTGTCAGCAGTCCAGAGACTCTATGCTGATCATTCTCATCAATTTCGTTGTCCGGCCCGGGCGTGACGAAGCTTTCAACAATGGATTTCCTGGAGACGGGCTCCACGGTTTTCCGAATGAATTTACGCACACGATGACCGGTTAACTTGGACTTCGGCATTTTGTTAGCAAAATGTACTTAAAAAAAATCACAAAAAATTTATATTTATATTTTATTTGAAAAAGTTGAAAATCGAATAGAGACTGAAACAATTTTGATGTTGTTCGTTTGAGTAAGCGACTTGAACTGAGCTCTGGCTAGGGAAAGGCTACGAACTAGCACTGGCAGCTGCTCATACGGCTACTTTGATGCCTGAAATGTGTGGCTGGATGTGTTTTGATAGTCGGTTGCTGTAAATTGACCGCAAATTGCAGATGGTGACGGTGGTGGCTGCCAGATGCCAAGGCGGCAGGAAAACCGCATGCGGTCCGCGTAGAGTGTCGCTCGATTTGCAATTAATTGTCGCCATTTTCCGGCAACTCACCGCCATATTCAATTTGCTAACCGCAGTGCGAAGTGGCGAAGTGGAGCAAACTGCTGCTAACCAGCCACAACTATTCATTATTCTTCTGTTTATGTTTATAATGTTGGGCGTTATGGCTAGGGACTTTCACCTTTCTTTTTCGTTTATAGGCAAGAATTAGTTCCTTAAACTGTTTAATTTAGTTTAATGGCTGCGGCTTTTTAATTGCACTTTCTGGCGTTATTTTTCAGCGGTTGTCTGAGTATTTTGGGTTTTTGTTTAATGGCGGACAAAACTGGCCCGTCGTTGTCGTTGTCGTTTCAGGCAGTTCGTTTTGGCTTATGTTTACGGTTATTTCCCTTTTTTGTAGTGTCGATGGTAGCCCCGATGGCTGAAAATAGCTGCCAAATAGCCAGGGGGAAAGTTTAAATCCTTTTTTTTATTGAAGGTTTCAGTACTTCAGCTGGATTAGGGGGGGCAAAAGTGCATTACTCCTAGCCTCCTATGTTCCCATATACAAATGTGAAAAGGCAAAGACAGAGGAGCCCTTGATCGGAGCAGGTGTAATCATTGTCCGATAAATGCTGGTCATCTATCATCCTTAAATAGTCAGGCCATGACCAGCGACTATTCCGCCCTGGGAGAGTGTCAACCAATGACTCTGCGCGTTTCTGTAGATCCCAAGCGAAGGTGGAAGGTAGAGGCTAGAAGGGCTCCTCTGAGGGGTTCACGTATGGCAGGTCAAGTGGCAAATTATGCCCTGCCTGTTCGGCTAAGGGTTAATAAATTAAGGACTCCATTCAAGGCAGCACAGCGAGAAATGAATATTCAAAATTTGAAAATAATTAACTTTATTATGGTTAATTTTGGTGTATAAAAAACTTAATAATAGTTTATATATTTAGATTTTTATTTAATGACATTTAACCCTTGTCAAGTAGGCTTTTCCTCGCTGTGCATCAGGCTGGCGGGTTAATGTGTCGAAATATTTTAGACACCCCGAGTGCCGGTCTCGCTTACCATGCGGTCAGTCATTAGCCTCTGAGCGCTATATATGCGTGGATATATAGTGTAGGATGTGGGGGATATAGTGGATATAGTCACGAACCCGCAATCAAAGGTGTTTCTAATTTATGAATCAACGCAATTAGCTTTAATAACCTCGCCGGCGACCGAATTAGCTGGACATACGGGTAGATGAGTGTGTGTGTATGGGAGTGTATGGGAGTGTGGAAGAGGAGGCGTGGCCTGGATGTTGACTCAACATTTGGCATTCATTCGCATTCATTAACTTGAATCGAAATGACAAACGGTTTCGCCGCCGGCCAATGTTCAACAGATGTAGATGATTGTCATAAATTTCGAAGCCACACATAATGGAATCGAATTGGGGGAAAGCGAGTAAAGGAAACTGGAAAATGGGTAGCAGTGAATCAAGTTGGGGGGGAAAAATACGACAGCACAAGGAAAACAATTGATAGAACTCAAGTGGCCTGTGCAGTCAGAGAAATGTAATTAAAAAAGGGGAAAACTTTTAAGCAAAATGTTGGGAAAGCAAATTAAATCAGTTAGTTTTTCTGTTTTAGGTTGTTAAAGTACTATATAGTAGTGAGATATCTACATTATTCCTCAAACATATAAATGTTATTTTACGTGCAGGAAGGCATCGACAGGCTTGTGGCAACCACAAGGACTTTTCATTAACCTGCAAGATGATGTATCTCTTGTAATCGAAGAAGCCGCAGCAAAAAACCAAACCATGGAAACCACAGACAGACTTTGCCGCAAACTGGATTTGTTTGATTTGAATTTGAATTTGATCTTGGCACAAGGCAGGCGTTTTAATTAAAGGCATAGAGATAGAGACGATAGGGAGAGGGAGAGAGCGGAAAGTTCGCGACAAGTTCAAGTTGGTTGTTATGCCAAAGTTGGGCCACCGCTGCGTATGCTTAATGTGTGTAATTCAATAAACTTCTTCATGTTTCGGTTGGAGATATTGAAACTAAAACGCAAGCAACAGCAATAGCAACAGCAACAGCTACTTGAATATGCAATTTCGGTCAATTTGGCCTGGCATCTATCAATTAATTAGTGCCACGTAGTAGAAAGTTCGACACGAGGCGGCATGCCGCATGGCAATTGTAATTTGAGTTGTTATTACTTTGGTTTTCTTGGCCAACTTGCCATTGCCAGGACAACGGCGAAAGCAGCAACAAGAATGGTTAAAATAGAGGCACTAAGAATACAAACTGGGAAATGACAGTGGTCATTAGCGGGAATTTTCATGGGGATTTTCCCATAGGCCCACGCTAAAAGATGAAAATAGAAACATGTTAACGAGATGATAGGCAAAGTTCTGTGTAGAAACTTGAAAGGAATTTCAGTTCTTCAAGTTAATTTAATGAAGTCAAGAACTTATTTTTGTAAACTTTTAAGGAGGAAAATTTTTAATGGAGGAAAATTGAAAACAGTTTTAAGGCATTTCTTGCAGTTTATTTTGAAAAAAAATTGGATTGTATGGAAACATTTACATATAAGAAGGCAGCAACAGCTGTCCTTGACCCCTTAGACAGGTCTGGCAGTGGTGGTGGTGCTGGTGCTGGTGCTGGTGGTGGTGCGAGGGCGGCGTGTGGTGCGCGTAGTGCGGGTGGTTCTGGGTGTAGTTCGTCGTGGAATCCTGGTGCAGGCCTGGGGCTTATCACCCAACTGCAGCTGGCCGCAGCGCCTCTTATCGGTGCGTAGCCAGTCTGGGGAAGGGTTAAATAGAAGGTTTAGTTAGTTAGTTCATCAAATCGAGTATCATCCCATCAAGACTACTCACTGTTCCTGGGCTGGCTGTGGCAGTTTTGGTTACGCAACTGGCAATTGTTGGCCAGAACCTTGCACTGCCGGTTGTTTCTGCTCCTCACGCAGATGTGCTGGCTAGGGGGCGACCTCTGGCAGACGACGGGACGGGCCGGGCAGGGATTGTAGCAGGGACGGCGGTGGGCAGGGCCAACGCCCTTAACATTGCGGCAGTCAAGGTCGCGGGTATGCCTTATACCCTCGGGGTTCCTTAGAACATTGGCCAGCATCAGATGGCAGATGTTCTCGAAACGCTGGCATTCTCCACGCGGTGTCCTGCCGCAGACCTTGGGACTGGTCTTGGAGCAGACCTCCGGGAAGAGGGGACACCTCCGGGCAGTGGGACGAGCGGAGGTGATCGGTGGTCGCCTGGTGCTAGGCGGTTGGGTGGTGCCGCTAACCACGGTCCACAGGATGGCCATGCCTAGTAGGATTTTCTTTCGTTGTCAATTTTTGTTTTTAATTAAGAAAAATCGAAGAATATTTACCGAAAATCAAAGTCAGTTGGTAGCTGGACATATTGCTGGATTGCTTGGAGTTGCAAGAACTTCTGATGCCCTTTAAGCCATCAACCTGGCCTATTTATACCATCAATCTTGGTAACGTTAATCCAAGACAATTACCTGGAAGCAAGTCCAAGACAATTCTTGGCCCGCACGCGACTCTTTGGCCTTTGTTTCAAGCCACGATTGTTGTCAAGAGCCATTGACCCCCAAGGCAAGTGCAGCTGCTAGGCACTTCTGGCAGAATGTTTGAAGAACATGACTTAGGTCTGGAATATAATATATAGAAAATGTGATTTAACTTCTATACTGGCTAGCATTTTGATAATCACATTGCTGAGGTTGTTTGCTAGATAGCTTCTTTTTCGAAGTTTATGTTTGCCTTGCAAATCAAAGTCTTTCCTACGACTTTGCTAGATAAACAGGGAAGAGAAATCCCAACTAGTTCTAATCTGAGCTGAGCTGATAGGCTAAATCTATACAGCGCAAACCTTGTACTTAGCTTAGTACTTCAGCTTACTGCTGAACAGATTAACCCAATAAAACGTTAATTAAAAACAAACCCATTCATGTTCAGAAACAAAAGCCTTCGGCAAACAAGGGAACAGATGGCGCTGCCAAAAAATATGGCAGAGTATTCAGCCGATTTTAAGCCGATATGGCTATATATACTCAACCTGGCCAGCGGAAAAGTATCAATCAACCAGCCACAGTTGATAGCAGCAAAGATCAGTAGATCCTCACCAGCAAAACGTTAAGAACAATAATAATGAGCAAGTTCAGCATTTGCCTCCTTCTCGTTGTCCTGGCCATTGCCTCCATCCAGGCCGATGGCGACCGTCGTCCTTGCCCTGGCCGCTGCACTGGACTGTCCAGCGGAAAGAGCGTGTGCATCCGGAACAAGGTGACCAACGTTTGCACCCGCCTGCCGGCCTGTCGTCTACGGGAGAAGAACTGCCGCCGACGTGACAACGGCTTGGAACCCATCCGTGAGACCTGCATCACCCGCTGCCGCAACATTCCCGGCAACAGCGGCGTGGGACAGTGTGCCACCCGTCTGCGTCCTCGTCCCCAGTCCGACATCAAGCGCGTTAGGGAGTGCCGCAGGAGGATCTGCCTTGACGACAAGCTCGCCAGCTGCTGGAGGGACCAACAGGGCGGCTGCATCCTGCAGACCCGCTGCGAGGCCCAGAGGAGGAACTGCGACCGCAATCCACTCAACCAGTGGGTGAGGGCCAGCCAATGGAGCTGCCAGGGTAATATTGTCGGAGGTGGCGTCCGCCGTTGCCGCATCAGGCCCATCATCATCAAGGATTAGGAGTGCCCCGTGAGGAACAGCCCCACAACCCTTGGAACCCCTTGAACTGGAACCACGACATTGACCCCCCCGCTTAAGCTTACCATTTTTTTTTTTTTTACCACTTTTCTCTTGCTTGCGTTAGTTTCGTACAAATATAAATAATTCAGTAAAACCTCAAAACAGAACTGAATTTCCTATTGTGGAAAACTAAAAAGTCCTTCAAGCTAGAGTCCTATCAACTCTGATTAGGCTTAGGACTTGGCTGGTCTAGCAGCTGGCTTCTGATGTTGACTTTTTGTGTTGACAAACTATTACTATTTTGACCACAGCTTTAAAGGTGATGGTCCGAACATAGAAATGTCTTAGATCGATGAACTCGTAATCAAAATACCATGCAAATTGCATTCAAGGTTGAAAATGTACACTTTTAGCCATTTTGCTGGCTGATTTTGATGAGTTCTGTTAATCCCAAATTCCTCCTAAAATTGGCAGTGTTATGTCTATAACTTAGCCAATAATGACTCAAATATAGAAAGCCATACCCCGTTGAGCGTGTTTAGTTCAATTTCCAATAAAACTGCATGCGATCTAGGTTCGGCTTGCCTTATTGGCTTTTTATCTTAAAAAAGTAAAAATGAAAAAAATTTATTTATTATTATTTCAATTACAATAGATACGCTTACTTAACCCTTGTACATACTTTTCACTTTATGCTTAACCCTAAAATGTGTAATGTGTAAGCTCCGTCCTTGGGGAATCTCTGTCCGTGTTCCATGCTCTTAGATCTTTACCGGGACTCGAACCCAGACCGACGGCAATAGTTCTATTTGGGAGTCAGCTTAGCTCCCTAGGCTACCGTCGGCGGCGATTTGACAGCTTGGAAATGTTTCATATAAGCTACACCTAGTTCGATTAGTTAAGGTATGTGGGGAACAGCCTACTTCGATCCTCGTCCTTACATTTTCCAAATGACAGGATGAAGGAATAAGGCTATGGTTAGTCTGCCAATATTTTTACTCTTGAATAGCTCAGCTGGTAGAGCACTTAAACTTCAAGGTACAGCGGTTCAAATCCAACTGCGAGAAGAAGTCACTTTCTTTTTTTCCATTTTTTTATAATCCTGATTCCCGTAGTGAAATTTTAGCAATTTTTAGAAAATTTTATGATGTTATGATGTCCAAAATGGAAAATCCGATTTATAGCTTTTCCCCTCACAAATTGGTAGTATTTTTTCCCATAACTCAGCCAATATTCGTCCGAATGTGGAATGTAATACCTCGTTGGACTCGTAATTTGATTGCCATGATTCCCAATTGGTTTGCATTCAAATCTGGGAAACTTTATTTTTTGCCATTTTTTGAAAATTTTGATGATGGTACCCCTTACCAAAAATGCGAAATTTGGGTCAAAATTTATTTTCCCAAAATCGAAAAACGAGTGATAGGGGAGGAAAGTGCTGGTCGTTAGCAGCACAAAACAGTCATTCTTTTGGCTGTGCGTCTTGTTTTGACCGAGCTAGAGCTAAAAAGCCGGAAAAAATATTCCGAATTTCTGTAGAAATGGGTTTTTCGATTTTTTAGCCATTAAATCGAAGCTCGCACCAAGAGAATCAGAACAATAATGATAAAAGTGAATATAGGGGTTTAAAGTTTTGGTTCTTAGCCGCATAAAACAGTCATTGGTTAGGACATGCGGCTTGTTTTGACAAAGTTAGAGCTAAGAAACTGCAGCAATCCCGGGCTTTCTGCTGTCAAACGACGTATACGTGATTTTGAGCACCAAAAAATCAGTTTTTTTGGCATAACACAGCCAAAAATGGTCCAAATGAGGAATGTAATATCTCGTAGGGCTCGTAACTTGATTGCTATGATTCCCAATTGGTTTGCATTTAAATCTGAGAAACTTAATTTTTGGCCATTTTTTGAAAATTTTGATGATGGTACCCCTTACCAAAAATGCGAAATTTAGGCCAAAATTGATTTTCCCAAAATCGAAAAACGAGTGATAGGGGTTGTTAGTATTGGTCGTTAGCAGCACAAAACAGTCGTTCTTTTGGCTGTGCGTCTTGTTTTGGCCGAGATAGAGCTAAAAAACCGAGCATAGTATTGCAAATTTCTGTTAAAAATCGGTTTCCTGATTTTGTAGCCCTTAAAACAGAGCTCGCACCAAAAAATCAGAACTATATTTATAAAAGCAAGTATAGGGGCTTAAAGTTTTGGTTGTTAGCTGCATAAAACAGTCATTGCTGCGGCCATGCGGCTTGCTTTGACAAAGTTAGAGCTAAGAAACGGCAACCAAACCGGGATATCTGCTGTCAAACGACGTATACTTAATTTGTGGCCTAATAAAATCGGTTTTTAAGCCATAGTACAGCCAAAAATCGTCCAAATGAGGAATGTAATACCTCGTAGAGCTCGTAATTTGATTGCTTTGATTCCCAATTGATTTGCATTCAAATCTGGAAAATTTCATTTTTGGTCATTTTTTGAAAATTTTGATGATGCGAAATGCGAAATTTGGGTCAAAATTTATTTTCCCAAAATCGAAAAACGAGTGATAGGGGTGGTTAGTATTGGTCGTTAGCAGCACAAAACAGTCATTCTTTAGGCTGTGCGTCTTGTTTTGACCGAGCTAGAGCTATAAACCCGCAATAAAAGTTGCACATTTCTGTTAAAAATGGGTTTCCCGATTTTTTACTCCTTAAATCAGAGCTCGCATCAAAAAATCAGAGCTTTAATGATAAAAGCAAGTACCCCTTACCAAAAATCTTTAAAAATTTGTAAAAATTGAATTTCTCAAAATCATAAAACCAATGATAAGGAAAGTTAGTTTTGGTCATTAGCTGCATAGAACAGTCATTACTTTGTCTGTGCGTCTTGTTTTGGCCAAGTTAGAGTTAAAAAACCGACAAAACCAATGATATTTTCTGTCAAAAGGGTTAATTTTGATATTTGGCCAGGAATATTCGGAAGTCTTCACATAACATTGTCAATAGTTTACCAAATACTGAATGCTATGAATCGATAAAAATTAAATTCAAATTTCAGTCGAACTGCATTCAAACTGCATTTTTGGTCATTTTTTGGTATTCTTCAACAAGAATAATATATCGAGTATTACTCCATCGAAATGCTAAACTTTTCTTAGTTTATTTTTGTCATATTGAAAGCCCAAAGGAGAGTAGTGGAATGTTTAGTGAGAGCTTTCATTATTTAGTGCCTAAAATGTAGCTATTTTGGGAATATTCCTCTAAGCTGCACTTTTCCATTTGCAAACTGAAACTACAACTGAAACTAAAACTGAAACTAAAACCGAAACTAAAACTGAAACTGAAACATAATTGTAATCCCAACTAACTTTTAGATCATTTAGTATATCCATTCAGTAAAATTAGTTGGGAAAGCAGAGATATCTTAGGGATAAAGTAGGAAAAGCTACCTAATGGCGGTAATTCAATTTAAATCTGAAAAGGTATCTAGAATGTTTACCTTACCCACCCAGAGAGTGTGTGTGCCAGTACCTGGCCACTATTTAATTTCACGCCTAGTAGGTCCAAGAGGACTATACGAGGTGTGTTCAAAAAGTAAGGTGACTCTTCAAATTTCGCGAATTTCAAATTTTTCGATTATCGATTTTTTTGTTTATATTGGTTATATTGGTACACTCTTCCCTAACATCTGTACCAAGTTTCAATGGAACATCCTCTTTTGTTTGGTTGTGAGAGGCGTAAAGTTACAAGTTGTTTTGCGAGCTCGGCGATTTTTTGCTATCGAAAAATATGGATCAAAGGATTTGGATTTTTTGGCCAAAAACAACACCACAATAATGCCTCAGCCACCATATTCACCGGATTTGGCCCCATGTGACTTTTTCTTGTTCCCAAAACTGAAGATAATCGAAAAATTTGAAAAATTTGAAATTTGAAAAGTCACCTTACTTTTTGAACACACCTCGTATAACTTCTAAAAGGTTTCGATAATCGAAAAATTTGAAATTCGCGAAATTTGAAGAGTCACCTTACTTTTTGAACACACCTCGTATACTATATACACGAACTATATGGGCGGAGGGCATTTAGCAGCCCCTAACTCGGTTAAAGGTTCGGTTAGCTGCGCTAATGTTTTTCATTTTATTATTCGCACTTAGCGTCTCGTCTATACGTATGAATTTGCATTTGAGCACAAAGTGGCGAGTGTAGTTTTCATATTTGCACTTTGTCGGGTCGTTGGGGTTGGTCCGGACGAGGCAAACATGACACTGGGAGTCCCGCCAGCTGACAGGTAGGCCTGGGGATGGAGATGGGTAATGGGTGATGGGGGTGCTGAGGTTCCAACTGCCACGGCTGGATACCCCATGTCCTTTTTACGGGCCCACACACAGCACAGGAGAGAGCAGGTGACAGCAAAAAAGCAAACTCAAAGCCACTCGACTAGTACACAGGAAAAACAAAACTCAATTCTGATTGTTAAACTTTAAAAAAGTTTAACTAAAGCTTAACTTAATGCTTGAACAGCTTAAAGTTTGTTAACAATTTACTAATCCATTTTCTTGTTTTATTTTAAATCAAGAATTTCCCCTGTAGACCCACTTTTCCGTGCATTTTCCAAGGGACAAGAATAACAGCAAGTGGGAGCTGCATGCCAGCCAGAAGTGGGCGTTGCGCGTGTACTTAAGCTTGGCATAAGTGGGTGTAGAGGAAGGGGGTAGGTCACCGCTTTCCGGTTTTCCCGACCGCCCCTTTCGAGTGGCCTGAACAAAGCACAACTTCTCGTGCTTCAGTTAACGTAAGCCGGGGAAAATGTCGCCAGGAAAAACGGGGGCAAAAAGGGTTAACGACAACGACGACGAAGGCTGTCTTACGGAGTGGGTGATGGTGGGAGTAGGTAATGCGGGCTGCTGACATATTATGACGACTTTAGAGGGGCTTTTCCCCGTTGCCGTTTACAGAAGTGGAATGTAAGTCAAGTGGCTGACAGCGGAGTCGAGTTTCCTGCAGGCAAACAATATCGATGGCTGCA